CAGGGCACAGTAAGTAGGGTTGAAGGTTAGCAGCCTCGGAGATTTTGGTTTGCAGAAGGGCTGGCACAGCTTCAGGAGGGCGGCTCCCAGGTTGAGGAAGAAGGCATCTGAGGCATACATCTGGAAGAAGATCTCCGGCATCTGGTTAGCCCAAATTTTGGTGCGGCCCGCGTTCGCATGGAGGCAGTTTCCCAGCCAGGAGAGAATCCTGTGCTTTGTCTCTGGAGACAACTGCAACAGGTTCTTCAGCATCTGGTAGATCTTCTCGTGGAACTGGGCCATAAACTGTTACGGGGAAGGGAACGCGGTCAAAGGCGTCATTGGCGGGATCGCTCTTTTGCCTCTCCCGTCATTAACGCTCTCTCAGAGCGCTCCTGGCTCTTGACCGCATCCTGCTTTTCAAGGGCAGGCCTTCGCAAGCAAATCACAGCCAGGACGCCTCTGTTAATCACCCGTCAGACACACCCGTTACGAGCGGGTCAAACCCGGAGGCCGGCAGCAAAGAATAATTAGGGACAGCCTCAAAAGCATAGGCGAGAGCAAGTTGTTTCCATGGGGAGTAAACCCAAAACTTTTTACGCGTTTTTGGCAGCAATGATGGCCGTGAAAGAACACGTGACTGGAAAAGCCCCTCTCTGTGTCCGCTTCTGCGCCCGAGCTTACTCCTGTATTTATATCCTACGTTCTAATGCTACGCTCCTCCCCTACCGAAACGTTCCGAGCACCGTTCCTCTGAGGAAGCCATTTACTGTCATAACGAGAGAGGATGTTGCTCTTGTCACTTGCTCTGCTGGGGAGCCAACCAGCGTTTTAATTACAGGACAGCTGCTGAATACTATTTCCCGGTGATTGCAACACCTAAGGCAGATGATCTTCACGTAGCGCCTCGAGCTACAGCGCCGCTATCTGTTCCAGGAGTACCTCCCCGCCCTTTTCCCAAAGCTCAGACAACTTCTCTGATAAAACACCACTTGCTCAACAGGAAGACTTGGGTTACAACCACCTGGGGAGGGCGGCGAAACTATTCGCACGTTACAGCTAGGGAATCCACGGCGGTTTTGTGACTTGCTTAGCCACAAGCCAGGTTATTGCAGAGTCGGCGGGGGAACTAAAGCCCTGACATCGCGTCTTTAACCCCCAAGCAACGAGCGGCCACTAAAACACACGGGCAAGCAGTGCTGTCACGCCTCAGCCCACCTGATGGATGTTGGATTCCTGCACTTTGATCTCTTGCGGGCTGGATCGGGATGGATTCAGAAAATAGCCGTGGTTCTCCACTACACCAGGGGTCTTTAACAAGCAGGAGATGTTTAAAACGGCGCCCAGCAAAGTCTTCTGGTACATCTGTCCGTTGCTGGGATCCTTGGGCTGGATGTACCCTGCAAAAACCTAGGGAACACAGCAGGACATGCTGGCGGTTACATAAAATCCCAGTAAAAAAATCCCACAGACGGACGCGTTTGGGACAGGCTATCGGGAAGGAGAGGGGGAAGAGCAAACGCACAGGGCACTGGTACGCTGTGCTGTTGGTCTGAGCTCGACAGATCCGCTCCTATAAACGTGCCCCTCCTGCAAGCAGGGCCCGCGAGGAGCTCTCGATTGGGCCGAGGCACCCACCTTCGCTACGTCCTTCTGCTTCGTGAAGTAGAGGAGCGCATCGAGGTACGTGTACAGCAGGATCTGGCAGAGGTCCAGGTCCTTGATCCTGCCCAACAGGATGTCGAACACGGGAACCATGACCTCCCCAAATGTCCGCACCTCCTCGTCCAGCGTCAAGGCTTCTATGACCTCCTCGAGAAACTCGGTCACGTCTTCAAAGTCTAGCGAGGGAAGCAAGGCTGTGCCCACGACGCTCCAACCGGCCGAACCTCACGTGTACACGCCCCGACCGAAACGCAGCCCTCCCTTTTGGCAACGAGGGCAGCCAAAGCTTCGCCTGAGCGACGATGCTCTTCCCGCAAGCTTTAGCGTGACGGGCAGCCTCACAGCGCTAAGCCAGCGGCGCAACCCAGCCAGACTTACGTGCCCCTCTCAGCGCCTCCAGCATCAGGTCCACCAGCTGCTCGTACACGTTCTGGTTGACATAAATCTCTGGGGTGAGGAGGACAGTGCGAGTGTTCGACACGGTCAGGTTCCGGCAGCGCACGGCGAAGGGCAGCAGGTTCTCCGGGACCTTGGTTATCTGCGCAAGGAGAACGAGACCGAGCTGGGAGCCTGGCATCTGCTTCTGGCCGTTGAAATCTCGGCTCGGTCACCTCGGACCAGAAAACTGGGTGACAAAGCCGCCTTCTTCCTCAGAAGCCCCTGCCCACCTCTTCTCTTGCCCTCTGGAAACAGGCGTAGAGGTAGCGCAGAATCTGTCTCTCCCCCGCGTCCCGGTCGGCGGAGAGGTTCTGCGTGCTGGCAGAGGTCATGTAAATCAGGTGGTTTCCAGGCTCCGGCAGCAGCAAGCGGGTGAACAGGGCCTAGGCACCAGCAAAGACAGAGGGAAAGTGGAACGGCCCCGGCAGAGAGACAATCCCTCCAGAAAAAGCAGCCCTGTATCGCCACAGGCTAAGTTATTTCTGCCTGGAAGAGCTCTCTCTACCCCCTCATTAAGTAACAGAGCACTACGGCATAAGCCCTCAGCCTTGCTCCTTGGCTAAACAATTTCCCCGGTCCCCTTTAAGAGCGACGGCAGCCCTAACAGAAGCTATCATCTTCACTGAAAAACCCTCCAGGAACGACGAAGCTGAGCGTGCGCGTCAACGCCGATTGCAAAGTTTTGCTCGGCAGCGCAAGAGACGGCACGCTGCCCCGCTGCCAGCGGCATTTGCCTCCGACGGCTGTGCCCAAGCCTTCCCTCGCGCCCCATCCCGGCCGAATTTCTTCCCCTCCCCATCCCCAACCAATCTGCACGGCAGCAAACTCCTGCAGCCTGCAGGAGGAGGGAACAGAAGCGGCAAAATCTAAACCTTTCTCAGCCTTGTACCCCAAAAACCCTGTGGCCGCTTCCAGCAAAGCCGCAGCCGGCAGCTCCGCGCTAGGCTTTGGCAAACAGGCTGCATTCGGGATGCAGTGTGTGTGCGTTGCGAGGAAATAAATTCCGTTCCTGTTGCCAAAGTAAGCGGAACGCCTGTGGCCCGAGGCAGGCGGCCCTACCTGCTCAACGTTGTCCATGTCCAGCCAGTCCTGGTCGTCCAGGTCTGTGGCCATTTCTTCCAGATAGACGCAGCGCGCTGGGATCCCGTTCCCGCTCTTCATGCTGGGGTCACCTGGGAAAGGCGCGGATCGACCCGTTTCACCCAAACTGACGGACAACGTGCTGGCAGGCAGCGCAACCTGCAGGCAGAGCCCTGCCCGCGGCAGAGCCGCCTGCTACGCGCTGCTGCGCTGAGGCAGGCGCCCTCTCCCAGCGCTCCCCTCCAATTTCAGCCGGATCCGGCAAGCTCTGCGCAGCGCCACGGAGGCTCCCCAGCCACCCGCCCCCCCCGGCACACGAAGGAGGCTTCCCCGGGTTCCTCACTGTTGTCGAGGGTGATGAGGAAGATCCTCTGGATCATGTGGTTGATGTTGAGCTGCTCGCACAGCTCCCGCTGCGAGCGGAAGGAGCGGCTGATCTCGGCCACCGAGTAGTCGCAGTCGTCCAGGCTCTCGGAGACGCTGTTGTCGGAGTCATCCTGGCTGACCGAAGTCTCCTCGCCTGCAAAACCCGAGAGCTCCTCAGCGCCCGGCCGGGGGAAGCCGCCTCGCCTCCGCCGGAGGGGCCGGCGCCCGCCGCCCCACCTCTCAGCTGCCGCTGCTGCTGCTGCTTTTGGACGGCGGCGAAGTGCTTGGCGTCGGCGATGGAGCCGAAGAGGGCGGCGAAGGGGTTGCTGGAGATGCTGTTGTTGTTCTC